AAAAAAAGATAAAAAGGAAGTCAAAGAAGCATGAGCACGGTTACCTGCCAGCGATACCGGTGGACTCCATTTCATTCGCCAAAGTGACGTCATTGGAGAATACATCGAACTTGAAGCGTTTTGTGCCAACCATACCGCACATTACCTGTCATGGGTATTTAGAGACAGCGTTTCCGGTAACTTTGGGTAAAAATGGGGTTTTTATGTACAAGCTGAATGAGAGCCTCTAATAAGACATTGCACAAGCCGCTATTAACAGAAAAAAATTTGGCGGCCAAGAAACTCAACTTCAGACTCCAGTCAGACCGTATTACCGAACGGATCCCACTGAAGCTACGGCTGGGCTGGAGTTCAAAGCACGATTTCTTGGTCAAAAATTGATCATATGAGCTGCCACTTAAGCAATGGCTTAGGTGGGGTCTATAATTAATATCCGCGAAAGATTTTCAAGTTCCTCACATAATTCGAGGAAAAATATGGGCCCCAAACTAACCTTCCCAGTATGGATCCCTACTCTCATGTTCACCTCCTGACCTCGGTCGATGTCGAATTGACGAATCGCAACGATCATATTCAAACCCATTTCAACAGTTCGAATTGCATGATCGGCGCAAGGTTCCGGACAACCGGCAACGCAATAATAACAGTCCCCTAGAATACCTGTTGTAAAGTAGATTTAGGCATTCAAGAAAGCTAACAACTTACCTAATGTGCTAATTTTCTCTAATCCTCCTGCTTTGCATAGAAAATCAAATCTGAAATGAGATATGTATGAGCAGGTTTTTCAAGAAGCATGTGGCTCTCCTTTTTGGAAATGACGAAAGTAATTTAGCACGTGAGGTAGTAAAAGTCTAGAATTTCAACCAAAGTTTCTACAGAATTTCTGGGTAGACGGATAGAATTCTCATATTTTGACTCCCTAAAAGAACTTATTGATACAGCAAAGATGTTCGCTTTTTCTGTACTACTCTAGCTTGCCACTTTTTCATGCTGGTTATAGAAAAAATGTGCGTTCTATCATCCCCCTAACGAAAGCAGACGTGCCAACGAGCTGGCACTCTGCCATTTGCAAAAAGGGGACGAATACCATCCGAAAAACTCCGGCTTCTTCTTATCACCAGACTTTCATTGGGCTATCGTTGCTTTTTTGTGCCCGTCGGCAATCTCAGATCAATATATCGATTTAACAAAGCTTATTGTAAGTAATTGCGTAAAACATGCTGTTCAAAATCTCGTGCTTGCTTTGCTCGTTGTAAAGTCGCCATGTTTGTCGAA